CCTTTAAAAGAGCCTTTCCCAGATGCCTTGCATTTGCTGTTGTTAGTTAAATGACCATCCCATACCTGGGACCTCACATGGTTTAATGATACTCTCCAGCTACAGCAAACATGCTACACTTGTCACTTGAACAAGTCTTTGCAAACGTTGCTGAAGCACTGCTAGTCCTTAGTCCTCCAGGAAAGATGATTTAGGTTTATTTCTCATACAGTCATGTTTTGATGATAGTGCAATGGAGCTTTTGAAAGGCAAAGGCAAAAAGGAGTTTTCTGCATCAACACTAACAGCTGCAGAATTTTAAAACACAGATATGTCTGTGTGAAAATGTGGCAATGTTTCTATTTAGTATGCAGGTGTATTATTAGAATTACTTACCATTAGTCTCTGATTTTTTCCCCATAGCTGATACCTGTTTGAAAAAGCAATAACCCATTTTTAAAGTTGAACATGGGAAAACACAGCTATTTATTTTTAAAAAAATCGCTTCCATGCAAAAGACAGATTTCCACGCACAACACAGCTCTGCTAAATAGGAATATAAAAGTTACATGCTGCCCACGGCTTTCTGCACCTCATTGTACTTTCTTTTATAGATAAAAGGGTAGGTTAGTGACAAAAGACATGTAGAGGCCTAATTCCAACTGACTGACTGTGAAGGCAAACACCACCTTCCTCCTAGAAAGCCTCCCACAGAGAGAGTATCCTTTCAACAATGCACTCAAGCGTTACCTTAGAAGAAGCTGGCTTTTCAACTGACTGCTTCTCCCAGAGATTACGTTTGCTGGATACATCTCCAGGTTTTAGATCCTGTATTTTTAAATTAATGTCAGAGAACAGAAACCAACATTAGTTCAGGTTTATTTTCATTTGTTAGAGAAAATGTTAGAATGCGACTTCCTCATAGGAAAAGTTGAGGAGCATCCACTAGTGGTGAGTATTACATTGCCTATTAATTATAAAGCTATTCAGAATAAAACTTCACATGATGACTCCACACATATACATGCTTTACGACGAAAACCAATCATGCTTCATCTGTTTTGTATTGCACAGGCTGGCCGTAACTTATTACATTAATCCTAGGGAGTTGCCCTAGTTTCAGCTGGGAGAGGGGTAATTTTCTTCCTAATATCTGGTACAGTGCTGTGTTTTCGATTTAGTATGAGAATACAGTTGATAACACAGTGATGTTTTAGTTGTTGCTAAGTAGTTACTCTAAGTCAAGGACTTTTCTGTTTCACATGCTCTGCCAGCGAGGAGCTGCACAAGAAGCTGGGAGGGAGCACGGCCAGGATGGTTGACCTGAACTGGCCAAAGCGATGTTCCACACCATGGGACGTCATGCTCAGTATATAAACTGGGGGGAGTTGGCCAGGAAGCACCGACCGCAGCTTGGGGATTTGGCTGAGCATCAGTCAGCAGGTGGTGAGCAATTGTATTGTGCATCACTTGTTTTGTATATTCCAGTAGTAGTAGTATCCCTTCCTTTTCTGTCCTATTAAACTGTCTTTATCTCGACTCACAAGTTTTACTTTTTTTTTTTCCCCCCAATTCTCTCCCCCTTCCCACTGCAGGTGGGGTGGATGAGTGGCTGTGTGGTTCTTAGTTGCCAGCCAGCAACAGGAGTACAGTGAAAAGTTACTGCACCATCAGGTTTCTAAGAATGGCAATTCCAACTTTTACAGAAAAAAAAAAAAATTGTTTCAGAAACAGTATTTCTGTTAGGGAGGAATTCAAGTAGCTTGTCTCAGCTACTTTAGATCAGAATCAAAATATTTCCTTTTAAAAACTGTAAAAAAAAAATCAGAGTAGGACTTCTAACACAACAGAAAATCAGATCTTCCTCTTCATTCTTAAGTATAGGTTTCAGGATATAACACTGTAGACCTTCATATCCATTTGAATTTCCATTGCATCCTTTAAAACCTTAGCATGTACTGATCACTAGCCTGACAGGAAAAAAAAAAACAGGTGAGGTGAAGTCATTAAAAAATAATAATATTCTCTGAAAATGAGTGTATATGGAGACTTTAAGCAAAACTCAATAAAAATGTCAAGCTGCTTCTTGGGGAAAAGCAGGGCTACAAATCAAGATGGTATGTGCTAGGCTAGTAGTGCTGCACCTGCTTAAGGACGGATGGATTGGTATAAACCTCTGTGGTTGGCAAACAAAAGACTCTTGAAACAATTTTGGATATAAGTACTCTTCTTTTCAAAAAGTGTTCAAGTCCTGCACAGTTTCCAGAATCTCATTCTTGCCACACATAGACAGGTAGTTTTCTGCACATGAGGATTTCTAGCTTGGGGTAGAAAAATGCCCAGTGATATATAGAAATGTGATTTGTGCAAGAGGTATTTGCACCCAGGAGAGATGCTCTAGAATTGATCATAATTTACAGCCAAAGAGGGTTGCTGATGGTTAAGACTTTAAGCCAATTCTGTACTTCAAAAACCAAGTTCAGCAGTAACAGAGGATGGAAAAAAAACCAGCAAAATTGCAGCGGAGCGTATCACAAAACCACTTGCAGTGGATGTTGTTACAAAACCACTTCCATAATCCTGAATTCATTTGGTATCTATGATTTAAGTTCACCATAAAACTAAGCGAGATCTTTGTTCTCTCTACTTATAATTGAATGTTGTTCTAAAAACCACAAGAATCTTGATGGTCACAAAAGCTTCAAACAATTCTTTATTTTGGTGGAATGTGATGGAGGTAGGAATTTATTTGCTAACTAAGAAATTATAGGTTTCCCTTTGGTTTATCCTGTTAAAATAAGCAAAAATCACAGTCACGCAGTACAGTTATATATCATTCTTTATAGTCAATTATAAACAGGTTTACCTGACCAACTTAGCAAACAGACCCCCAAAGAAGAAGAATAGGAGGAGGGCAGGTTCCTTCAAGCAGAAATATTGAAAGAAGAAAGAACGATCTATTGAGAAAGAGGGAAACGAAGACATGGATAGGAAGAGTTGGCTGAGGGGAAAACAAGAGGTTAGTTTTACATAATCTACAAGATACAACTTAAAAGGAAGAGAGGAAAATTTGGAGGCAGATTCTGTGCTGGTTTTCAGCAGTTGTGATTAAATACAGTAATGGCAATTACTTCTTTTATTTTTATATTCATGTCCATAAGGACACAATCCCCACGTAGCTACCAGTAAATGATGACTTTAGGGACAATGCTACAAATTTCAAACTCCTCTTTGAGACAACTAGGAGTATGAATTGAGAAAGGATTTGTCAGGCTGCACCTTTTATAAAGAGCAAGTGGACTGGCAGAAAAACGCTACACAAGGATATGGGAAGAGACCAGCTCTTTAATAAAATCTCAAAGTGGAATCATTAACATCATGAGTGATTCCCTGTCATTCCCCAATACGGACACCTACAGCTCCGGTTCCTCATCCCTACCCTTTCCCACCCCACAATAACCTGTTTCTGCTTGTTCCCACATCCACACTGCTGCTTCCTACACTCCCAGCTTATTACTTTGATAGCATTTTCTGCTTTGATTCGTGCTGAAGTAATGGGCATGCTGAAGGGCCTTCATTAGAAATGACACTTAGGCTCTTAAAGTTTTTCACTTGTGTTTAAAAATATACTTGGGAGATTTTTACAGGGCAAGGGCCAAAACATAAGTGTTTCACCCAAGGTCTACGGCTAGTAATTTCTAAATCAATGTTAGGTCTTTCACGGGTGGTAAATTAATGTCATTCTCTAACAAAGAAGTGCTTCACTGAGCACTGTCTGTTTAGAGCACCCCTGAGCTTTAAGGTGAGAACTGCCCTGTTTCATCTCTGTCTTTTCTGACTCCCCAGGAATCAGCAGCCAGAGGGCCTCTGTGAGCTTCCAAGAAAGGACATGCAGCAAGGTTCCTCCAAAGACCATCAGCTGGTTGAGGAAGCACTATCACCACCTCTGCCTCAGGAGAGAATCCACCTACTGAAGAGGTGGTTGTTGCAAGTTTACTTACAGAAGGTTTTGGAGCAGGTGATTTGTTGCTCTCTGGGGTCTTGGTTAACCACTCATTGATACGACTGGAGACACCAACCTTCAGTCCAGCAGTTTCCTGCAAAAAAACAAAATCTAATCAGAAGACTTTCAGAATAGCTTTTGATACATTTTCCATGGTTTAGATTTAAAAACAAAGCCAAGCCTGAGTTTAATATAGAGGTCCTCCCTGAGACTATGGCTAGCTAAAAGTCATCCTGTGTGCTCTGAAGATATTGTCCCTATGAACTACACAATATTACTACCCTCTAGTTTTCAGTAATGATAAACGTGGGCTGACAAAATAATTTCCACTTTAGTGCTAACCCAGGAATAAATGTTAGATGGAAACCTGCTGTTTCTGTCATTTCTGGAGAAAAAAATCTTTAGCCTAGAAGAAGAGACACCAGCCTAAGTTTACATTTTTGTTATGTTAAACTAAATTTTTTTGAACGAGCACGTAACAGAGGAATTAAGTGGCTAAAATTTAAATCATTAAAATAATTCTTTAAAAGGTTAGAACAAATCACTGAAATTTCCTGGCTATCTGTAATAATGCACTTTGATCCATGGCTCAGTTTTTTGGTATGATGAACGTTCATCAACTCCCATCAATTTATAGAAAGGAAATGTTGCCTTAAGGATTTACATAGAAAAGATAAATGCTTTCTCTCAAATGCTTCTATGCATTGTCTATAAAACATCATCATTATCTTGCCTGTTCACTCCTTCTCTACCCCCAAAAGAATCTTTCCCAACACAAAGAATTTCTTTGTACTCTGCTTGAACTACCCAGATATATTTGTCTAAGATATCTGATGGGGCTCTGGAATGTCTCATAACTTAGCTCAGTATGTCACTAAATTCTTCTATTATACTCAATATTGCAGCCACACAATTTTGTGGGTTTCTGAGGACCTCAGGATCCTTTGGGATATTCTTCACCAGTGATGTCACAGGGGCAGTTGGGCTTACTCATGGGAGCAAGAATGGCAAGGTCAGGTCCATAATATAATTCTTTATAATCACTACATGAAGTTATACACATACCTTATTTGGTGTTCCTGTCCCAGAGGGTGACGAAAAAACATTCCCTTTCTCCCACATGCTCTTGATATTACGGACACCCTCAGCTGGAACATGAAGGTCGGAGGCTGCTGGCTTAGCTGGTCTTGCAGCCTTTGTGCCCTGCAGAAGAATTGAGGCCAGTTGGTGTTTGGCATTAAGAGATGGAGTTGCAAAGCGGTTTGTCTCTAGGGCTGTGCTGGGGAATGCAGCAGCTGTGAGAGGTTCTAGAGGTGCCACTAAGACTCTCTCCCTTTTGATTTGCAGTTGCACCCTTGACACGAATGGCTACGAAAACTGTAATCACTTAGATTTTGCATTTGTTGCATTTCTAAAGCTCATGGCAAACTATAGCTCTGCACACAACTGCTCCATAGCTTTCATTTTTCCTCTTTCAAGCCTTAGCATCTGCATCCTGTAAGCACGGCTTTTTCAGGGATACAGCTAAGGAAATCCTTATGGGAGGTGGGGGAAAAGGCTGCTCTGTCGTTCAGCGTCAGACTTTGCTCCATCTGTCCCTGACAACTTAACCTCACAAATAGGGATTTTAGGAGTAAATATCAGCAATTACAGTATATTTGGAATGAGGTGGTTTTTTAAAGAGTGGCAGATTGGAGGTTTTTTGGCAGTATGTCTTTTGCGTGGTTACCAAAAACACTGCACCAAACTCCTCCTGTTCTTTCTTTTCAAAATTCTTGTACATTTTACATAACAAATATTTGAGGAGAATAGGAACCTGTACAAGCTGCGGCTTTGCCTCTCTAGTTGCAAAGCAAGTCAGATTTGGAAACTTTTGGAAAAATCAGAAGCTCAGCAAAGGAACAATTTCAGGTCAGATGGGAGCTCTATATAGCTATGAAGCTGCATTGCCTGCCTCTTGCCATAGAGCTATGCTTTCTACTATGTAAATGGAGCATAAAGACCCAGAACCTAAACACAGCCCTACTGAAAATACTGGAGAACCTACTATAAGCTGGTGGGTGAGCTGGTCCAGTGTTTATGAGCTGACAAAGCCTGACCTCACTATTATATAAATTTCTTAGACAGACAGAGCTGTACCTCCAACCCATCCACTCTCTTTAAGGAGTTTAACATCAAACCCCAGTGCCAAATTAAAGTCCTCAGTTATTCTAGGGTGGTTATGTCTCATCCAGAAAAAATGCAGTGAAGTCGGAGGTCAGAAGCTGTATGCTTCTACTTTGATCATATGGGGACTATTGGGTGCCATGCTGACATTCACCTCTAATGGAGGGGTTTGAGCTAGCTTCAGCTTGATATAGGTGCTGGAGGTAAGCCTGAGCCTTCAGCACTGTCATGCATGTGCTTTTTTCATTGGGAACCAACACACAGTATAAAACTCTCCAGCACTAATAGGCTTCCTAGCAGAAAGGTTAAATGGACAGCAGTCACAGAAAAAAGCCTTTGTTGACTGATCTTTATTTACTAAAGTTTCCTTTAAGTTGAAGGATAATAAAACCTAACCAATTAATACCTTAATGGAATACCATGCTTGGACTCTATATGTGAACAAGAGGGGAAAAAACCCCCGCTGGGAATGAAGAAGTGTTAGACCTTTATCACAGCTATCAAGATAATATCCCTTTTAATATTATTCTATTCCCATGACACTTACCAACCCAGCCTAGTTGGCCTTCTATATTAACCAGTAGCTTTCATATTGCCTGTACTCACTGATTTATAAAAAGAGATAAAAAACAAGCAACAACAACAACAAAAAAGGCAAACACTTATTTTTCCTTGGACTATGCAAAGAAAAAGCCCTCAATTCTAGCTTCAGGGCACATTATTAGCCACTACTTGTCAAAATCACCTGGGGTCAGATTCTGCACTTCATTTTGATTCTGTTTTTCCTTTGTCACCACTTAACTCCCTAGTTCACTAAAATGTTGTTCCTTGTCAAGGAAATTCACTCTGGAGTGGCAGCCAACAACACAGGGCCAGTTTCTTTCTCTCCTAAATAAGATGCTAAGTCAGCTTTGCTCAGGATGACTATCAGCACTCTGCTGATAGTACTCTTATCAGCCAAGATGAGGATATGACTGTCATTCAAGAGATGCTGACTGAGTCCCTCAAGAGCTCACAAAGCAGACAGAGTAAATTGTAGCATGAAAGAGAATATGTGAATCTGATGTTTTGTTTAGAAATATATCTAGATGTTGGTTATAAGTGTGCCTCAAGAATTTTGTTCTTGAAGTCACATTAAAAAAGAGTCTGTGACCAAAGTCCCTGCAATTCTTGAGCAGTAAAACATAAGGTGGTTAAAGCCCCAAAAGCCATTAGTAACTAGAGCCATTGTGACCTGGAATTAACTTACCTCAATTGCACTAGTGTATTGCTCAAGTCTACTGTCAATCTTTGAGACAACTGCTGTTGTGTGGGTGGGTTTCATACCACTGTAGGAAGTAGAAAAAAAGGCAGAAAGAAATTATTATTCCCTCCATTTAAACATTGCTGTTTTGACTGAACCTACTGGTTTATTGCTTTACCTCTTCTGAGCGGATTTGTTCAAAAATTCTGCTCTCTCCTCTATCTAGAAAAGAGAGAAACAAGAGCTATAAGTTTAAAGTTAATAAAAAGGCAGTCTGTACAAGGCCAGGCTAAAATGTCATTTTAAACGTCAAAAGGTCAATCTGAAAGAGATGCATTCCAACAGAAATCACCAGACACACACACAGGTTTTATACTTAGGAGCCTATTATGCTACAGATCCCTAAAGGTGGATATATTTTCTGCATTAATATTTGCATCCTGCGTATTTCTTCAGTGCCTCATTTGTGACAAAAGAATAAACACCAATACAAAAAGGAGAAAAGGGAAGAAGTTTGCCTTATGAAAGGGGTTGATAGTCACAAAATCTGTGTAAAGTTTCCTCATATCTCCCACATAAGAGCAAGTATGTATCTCTTATGACAAACAGCAAATTTAATAAAGTTCTTCTGAGTTAGAGATATCAGACTAGACCAGGTTTGCAGCTCAGCCACATACCCTTATCTCATGCATGTTTTTGCAGGACACAATTTAATTTGAGCTCCAAAAAACAGATCAGACTCTATTCTGCCATGTTCAAGCAGGGTCACTGCTGAGTCAATGTCTACCAGCTGTTATTATATAAACTCATATCTTACATTTCATCATTATTTTCTACTCTGTGTATAGGAAAATACTGTAATGTTTCCAGGGAAAAAGAACAGGAAGGTCTCATAAGATTTATGCCAAATCTCTTGATAATTTGAAAACAAAGAGACTCTATCCCTGAATAAAGTTTTAAAACATGATGGGGGGTGGGTGGGTGTCTGTTTGCGTTCTGGGTCAAGAAATACTTTAATCAAACTTTCTCAAGTCCCGTCCATATTGCATTGTTTCACTCCTTGTCCCAGGCTGTACAATTTCACTTAAGAGTAAAATATACACAAGCAGCTCCAGGGGATAGAAATGACTGTTAATCGGCCTGGCTGTATTCCTGGGAATTCCCTGGTCTCAGGATGGACTTTCCATTTTCAAGTTACTCTAACAGTGACTTCTACAGCATTCATGCCTTTAAAACAAGACAATGACAGCCATTCCTTTAAATGGTTCTCCTCAGTGCCCGTAGCATCCAGGCTGTACCAGAATACTAAATCCCACAGCAATCCCATCAAAGGGCACACATGTTTTATTTCTCGAGCTCATACAAGAAAAAACTCAAGGCAGTTCATTTCAGTGCAGAATTTGCCAGAGAAACTTGCTGGAGCAACTCCAGCTAGCATCAATCCAGCTCAAAGACACCTCTAAAACTCTAAAAAAAAATGTATACAATTTACAGAGTAATTTACATTAACAGATTTAGTTGCCAATATACGATCTAAATACAGTCCTGAGCGGAAAGACGGACTTTGCTAGGGTATGTCCCAAGTGTTCAAAGCACTGTTGTCACAAGATGGCAGCAGTACACCAGGCAGGAGCTGAAGAGCCAGGCACACCTTCCCACACGGGTCCGAAGCTGCGGCTCTTCCTCTGCCAGCCTCAACAGTTTACAATTTGGGTTTACCCAGAGGAAGCACAGTCAGCATTGCCTTAAAACGAGCAAGTACATTATTTGGTTAAAAGTGAGTAAACAGGTCTGCAATGATAACTTAAAATACCCCACAAAATACCTCACCTCTCCTTGACTGTTGCATAGTAGCAAACGTTTCCCACAATGCTGGTTTCTTCCCTGCCCTGTATGAACAGGTGAATTCCCTGACTGCATCAGTGAAATTCTGGCTGGCAGCAAGGAGAAACAATATGGACTATCTCAAAGAACCAGGGCTCAAGGTAACCATCTAATAATTAATTTACAGCATTTTCTACTTCAGATGAACTGACATTCCACTTGAAATCTTACAAAAGGGACAGATCTTAAAAGATGCTAACAGTAGACTCTTTATAGTCTTCCTACGTTCAGGAAGGAGAGCTGTTTCTGCGCAGCAGGAAAACCTGGCTTTAGTAGGCACTGGTGTAAGAGGGGGATAGGTTGGGGGGAAGAGTGACATGTATTTGGCGTTGTAGTAAAAAGACTTGGAGTCATTCTTTAACCACTGGAAACAGCAGTTCTCAGAGCCCCTGCTGTGGTGTCAGGGATTGTTCAGAAAAGGAGAGTGAGGAAGCAAACCGGAAAATAATTTAAACAGGAAAGCAGAGTGAGGAAGCAACCTTCAGAGCTGAACATGGTCCTCTTCCCAAGGAAGCAAGTGTCTTGTGTGGATGGATAACACATTTTCTGCACATTGAAATGAGAATTTGCTCGAGAGCATCTTCCCCAAAACACAGTATGCATGAAGCAGAAGCATGCGTTGAATATACTTAAAGCAAATACATGTATATTCAACACATAGGACAAATACATTCAGACTGCACAGCAACATCTAAAGGTCGTTTACGCACTGCATACCACACAAACTCCATGCAAAGAATTTAAAATGTTTGGCACATACAGTAAAGAGTATTACAAAATAGATCTGTAAGAGAAACAGGCAAAGCAAGGTGGTTAGCACAAAATTCAAGATATTTCCTCAATTTGAGACCAGGAAATAAGAATAACCTTTTTGCTGCATTCTTTTTAACAGGATCCTATTACATAGCTTGAACTATGTTTTGTCACCATGGAATACTTTCCAAAGCCCCTGACACAGAACACACAAGTACTCCAAAAGGTCAACCTTCTGGCCTCTCATCAAATCATGAACAGAGAGAAAGAATACGGGATCTCAGGCTGCATCTCTCCCACCTACCCTCAGTTGCTTGAAAGTCAAGCATTTAGTCAAAATTACTCATCTTGGTTCCCTCTATAGTCAGTGAAGAGTCAGAGGAGCTTGCCTTACCCTAGGGAAAGGTGGGATTGCTTGTCCACTGCGTGTGGCTCTCAGTCTATTAACTACCAAAGAAGACTAGATTAGACAACAAAATGCTTAGATGGACACCTACCCTTCTGCTGGTAAAGTCAGTTGAAATGAAACCAATGGACATAAATCAAACCCATGTAGACTCTCACACCTGATTAGGGCCTTACTCAGCAGTCTCAGCACATACAGGTGGCAAGGAATAAATTAAACAAGATGTTATAAAGATATATATATATGCATTTATTCCACATTCAATACTATATTAACATGTTTTGTTTTCCAATTGTGCAAGAAATGTCTTGCCTACTAAAAATGCAGTTAAATTGTGGGTATCAAAGTGCATTGTCTTCCATCTGTACATTCTCCAAGAACAGAAACAGGATGGAAGAAGAATGAGTTAATACACAATTTGAGCCAATTACTTGGGAAACAAAAAACCTATTCCTGGTAAAACTTGTTTCATACAAAGGTGTTAAATGATTCTTAGGAATTTTAGACTATGTATTAGATATTATGCAACAGAAAGTGTTGTAAACTGATATGTAGAAAAACTGTACTCAAAAAGTGGGTCAAGGAGGAAGGGGAATAAGAAATGCACACAGAAAACAGAAATCCCTGTATTCTAGTTTTGCTTCATATCCAACAGGCAGAAGAACCTAGTGGAAATCCATTCTGAGTGGTAGTCCCTGGGAGTAAAGCGGCTTCTCCTTATCCTCCCTGAGTGGCTCATGCACTCTTTGCTTCATTAAGCACAGTTAGGCTTTTTCCTGCTGTCAGCAGCATCTGTTTAGAACACACCAATTTAGTCCAGTTTACCTGCCAGACTAGAGTGCTGCCATCAGCATCAAAGATGGGGGAAAAACAAATGTCACAAATCCTGTTCTTACCACTCTATTTTCCCTCTGCTGCAAGAGTAGTTCATCTAGGAAGAAGTGATTGTGTGGAGTCTAATTCTTTCCAGTCACTGCTCCAGCTGTCAGGTACTGAGAGCAATAATGAGATAGAAAGAGATAGGTATTTAAGAAAAGAAAAAAAAAAAATCTCAACCCCTGAAAAGTCCTATCTTCTGGCTTAGCTGTCAGCATTGCCTTGCAGAGTGCGGGCTGCCACATCAGCCTGTGTTTCCCAGGAGATATTTTCTGCAAAGACAGGAGATATCCCAGGCTCACAGCTTCCTGCCATTGCTTCTTCTCCTCAATGACTGGCTGCTTTTGCATTTCTGTATGGGTGGAGCTCACCCCCAAGAGGCGATTTAGTATTAAAACATCCTGTTGTTTCCTGATTAACCTAGTAATAGTTATAGAAGAAGTTAGAGAGAGAGATGGGAGAGCAGCAGAGGTTGTTCCAGTCTTTGTCCTTATGAAAAAAAAAAAAAAACAGCCAAGAGAGAGGGCAGAAGTTGAACAGAGGTTTGGTACTGCTGCTGTTGCCCACAGTAACTCCACCAGCCCTGAGAAATCCAAGCTGCTTCTGTCTCAGAGCTAGTGACAAACTTCGCCTGTATTTACTTTGCATGCTTCCTCTTCACTGTCCCCTTGGAAAGGACCAGCCCTCATGCTGTCGTTGGGAGGACTCCATACTGCCATAGAAGCTCTGCTGAAGTAGTGTCTCAGGTTTCAGTGAAATACTGTATTTAACAGTTAAAACAATAGCAGTTGTCAACACTATGTAGGCTGTGATTTATTAGAGGCCAGGCTAGATGGTCAGAGTAGTTCTTTCTAAATATAAGCGTGTATGTATATGTTGTCTCTGTTTGTATACATATATTTATGTATGTGCATCCATGTAATACATGGAGATGAGTTGTACATCTTGGTCTCTCAATTCTGAGCCTGCTCATCATGCTAGCCTCTGCACTGCCTGATGGATAAATGCGGTGTCCATAAGATGGCAATATGCCATACTGCTTTTCAGTTTATCTCCCTTATTTCCTTTGTTCCTGTAGTTCACTTGGTAAACAGCATGCCCTACTTTCCTCATCTGTCACTCCCAGGAACTTCTTTTTCTTCCCCAGAATTTGTCGCATCAGGAAGGAGAAAAAGATGCTTTGCCAGATTGTGATGTAGGAAAAGTCTGAATGTGCACATGTATCATACAGTATTTCAATACTGAGCCTCCCTTTTTTCATTATTAATTCCCACAGCCCACCCACAATTGTGCGTTTAGGGTTCTCACATGACTCGTGACACATCTAACCAGATGATATGTTCCTCAAGGGACAAAATATGTGCCAGATGTTTTACAAGTCAAAAGATGACTTGAGCAGTGCATAACAGGCCACGAGAAGGCTGTGTACCAACCATGTTAGACTAGCCTGAAAAGTTTGTTCAAATGAAAGGTAACAAAATATACTGTATTCTAAAAACTGGAGTTTGACATCAAATTTGACATGAAGTTATTAAAATGAGATTATTCTCTCCTCAGCTATTGATCACAGAAGGCCAAGAAACAGTTTAGGGTGTGAAGCTCAATAGCATTACATATTTACTCTGGCCATCCACAGACACTGGACTGTGTACGCTATCACCAATTTCTCAAAGAGAGAAATAGAGAAAAAGAAAAAATTTGTGCAGAGTTGCATCTATCAGGTTTTGTAACAAACAACTTCTACCTAACAAGTCATAAAAACCATCAGCAATTATCATAATAAAAAAATTGGACTTTGGACGCTTAATGACATTTGAAAAATTCCAGCTTTCCTCTAAAAATACACTGAGTAGAATAGTGTAGCAGCAGTCCAAAAGTTCTCTGAAAGCTATTAACCTCCTGCCAAATCCAGTGTTTTTTCCCACTCTCCCCAAAATTATGATCTATATCTTTCTATTATGTGTTTTCAAGCATGATTTCCTCTCTTCTGAGTCATCTGTGAACTAAAGTTCCAAATGTATGGCATAAAAGGCCTCTCAATAAACAGAAAGAAAAGGAAGCCCTCCCAGGAGAGCTGGGAAGAAGCTGTACATTTATAGTGTCTGTTATTGACATGGTCTTTTGTAACCGAAATGGTAAGACCAGGTTTATCCAATAGGAGCAAGTTGTGAAGCTTGGCAATCTTCATTTACAGCTGTGTGTATTTTGTCCTTATATTTCAGGTTCAGATGTGTCTGACAAGTCAAAGGCAAGTCCAGTCAAAAGCATTTGGACACTGTATTTGCTGGAACTGGACCCAAAACAGTATAGGGCTGGAGCTCCAGATCAGTTCAAAGCATAACTCTGTGTGAGCAGAAATGTAATTTTGTTCAAATGCGATTTGTCACTCAACAAATACAGTTCTTAATCCCAAGGAGATCCATTTCATGGTTCAATGAGCTCCTACCTGATAACCTCCAGCCTGGTTCTTGTCTCTCCTAGTGCCCACTAAAGGGCCTATTTTGACAAAGATTTTGTATTCTTAAATGACTAGTGATACAAAATGAGAAAAGGAAAAGATAGTTGAAAACAATTAATAGATCTGTTGTTTGAGCTTGAGCTGAGAAAGCAACTGGACTGAATACCAAAACAATGTTCCCAGCGATTTCAGTGTGGCCAGGATTCCTCTTCCATGCTGAAAGGCTATTTAATTGATTTATCTAACTTCCAGTATAATATAGGCCACAGAAGACCACTTAGATATTCCTGTAGCAACAGAAGGTGGTTTTTTTTTTTTCCTCTTATGTAAGAAAATGAAATCCAGTGCAGTACTTCTAGATGTTATTTTTAGGGGGATTAGACATAAGCTAGAACTCCCATATGGGGCAGTTTCAATTAATGATGATTAGGCTGACTATGCTTAAAGATAAAGTAATCTGGCAAGGAAGAAGGTGAAAGGAGAGAAAGAACATTTGTGATCTTTATCTACTCCAGTCCACAAAACTCTCCTATAATAAATTAACATTGAAGATCAACACAGTAATACAGCTCTAAGTTTCCAAAATAGTTTTCTCTGGAAGGTGAAGATCCTTCTTGGACATTTTTCATCAACAAGAACATGTAACTCATAGTCTAGACTCCATTTTTAGAAGGATCTCTAATTTTCACAGTCATTGCAGTGAATGAAGTCTTTCAGCTGCAGGTTTCAGGCTAAGGTCTATTTCAGACCTTTGTCCCAAGTCTGATTTTAAGTATTTCCACACTGCTTTGGTGTTTGGCTGTTGGTTTGGACTGCAACCCCCATTACTTTTTATGTACTATGTAGATATTAGTGGGGAGGTTACCTTGAGAGATGAACCTTTAGGACTGAAACATTTAAAAGGCTTCTTGTCTTCAGATACGCCATCTTCCGGCATCTTTTGACGTTTCTCAGCAGCTTCAGCCCTTCTTCTTTCAATTTCTTCCTTCATCCTCCTCTTTTCCTCCTTAAAAAATACGGTCACTTATTCTTTCAGAAACCACATCACCATTACAGGGCTTTGCAGTCCTGCAAACATTTACCAAATTTTCTAAGAAGAATTTTGTGCCAGTCCAAAAAGTTCAGTGACCTATCTGAAATCTAGCAACATATTGCTGCTAATCCATCACAGTGTTAAGGCAGCAGGGAAGACAACTAGTCTGGGCTGCTTTAGTGTCTCCCCACAGTGAGGTCACCAGATTTATTACCATATATTGCCACTTAAAGAGAGGAAAAAGCACATTTATAAAAATACTCAAATTCAGTTTCTTTGTATCCTCATGAATCATATTGGTACTGTTCTTCTGTCCACCTGCTCTGGCACTTGTTATGCCAGGGGTTAATACTTCACAAGGAAAAATCAGTAGGTGCCCAAAAAAGTGAAGATTAAATCCTTACAGTTTTCCCTCCAAAGAGGTAACATCAGATTTTACTTCATAAGCTACAAGCCAAAGCACAACCATTGTGAATACTGATCAGCAGGGTCTGACCAGCAAGGTATTGTGCAATCTCAGCATCTATTGAGTTCTACTGTAAAGAGCTTAGTATACTAAAGCAATTGGCATTTAGCTGCCAAACACTACTGTTATTCATCTGCCATTTGTTTTCCAAACAACTAAGATTCCTAAATGATGCACCAGAGGTTTGGAAATCCTATTTATGGAGTCCCTTGGCAGAGGAAGTACAAGCAAACAGATGTGCTTGGGTACTCAATATTTAAATAGACAAGAATATCTTCCTAATGAGATCTAGTCCATTGTAACTATATATAACATTAGCATTCCAGCTCATCTGCAACCGATGAATTTTGACACGCACTTTGTAATTCAATTTGCGTAATGTCAAAAAGACACCCTGAATAAATGAAGAACTCTGTGGCTATAATACTGCCCCCAACATTTTGTATCCCCAAGAAGATAAGAAATTTGCAGCTATTGTAGATGAAATCCTGACTCGTGAAGACATATATTAAAGCCCTGTCTTTCCTGGGGCTAGAACTGTAACATTTCTTTCTACCCTGGATGACTGCATGTTTTACCTCAGGTACTCAACTAGAACATCTATGAGGACCTGTTTTTATATCATCACTTGATATAAAAAATGGCATACTTGCAGTTAAATCTGAAGGTTAGAAAATGGGGCAATTTTAATGCTGGGTAGCATATTTGAAATCAAGGTCCACTGTGACAGACCACCTCCTGACAGACACTAAGAAACAGTGATGCCCAGAAGAGCACGGAACCCAGATGGCCCAGATAAAGGGTGCAATTTGAAGCAAGGTCACAGCAGCAATTCCTCATACAGCAACATCAGATCCAAGGAGAAGCTCACTTTGTCTTGTATGCTTGGGTTTGGTCTTGCTTTCTTTGTTACAGACTCCTTCCTCACCTATGAGCCAATATCCTACAGCCTCATTCTGCACTTTTGTTAAATATAGATCCATCGACCTCCAGCCCCACCGACTTGTTTGCCTGAAAGTGTCTGTGCAGACACTGCTGTAAAGAGTTACCAACTAAGGCAAGGCCAGTGCAAATAAAGTAGTTACAACAAGGGAGTAAAAACAGAGTCCCATATTTCCTATTTTACACTTACCTCCTCTCTGGCTTTTCTCTCAGCCTCCTCCTGCTTCTTCTTCTGCTCCTCTTCCTCCAGGATTTTCCGGCGCTCCTCCCGCCTTTTCTTCAGTTCATCCAGCTCTGCTGCCGCCTCCTGCTGCTTCTCCTTCAGTTTCTCAAACTCCTCATTCTCGCCTCGGCGGCGGCGCTGATCTTCTAGCCGCTTTGCAGCCTCCACTCGAGACCCCGGCTTCGCTTCCTCAGCATTTGTGGTCCCTTTCAAATTGGAGCGGCTGGGAAAGAAAAGAAAGGTGATACACCACGGGTTTTCCCTTCCTGGCCTGAGCCACCTTCTGCCATGCACTCACCAGCAACATGAGACCTTGGGACTCAAAGCTATTGCTTTATAAGACCTTTTGCTCCTCACAAACTACAACAGGCCCAAAACATTTTCATCAGGAGTTAGTAGGCTGGGATGCTACGAGGAGCATCTCTCCCATCTGCTGCCAGTAAGGAAGGAGTCTCATGTGCTTGCATGTACAGGAGCTGCACCACCCTGCCTGAGAACTCAGGCTACCTCCATTTTTAAGAGAATTCAGTAATCAAGCTTGAAATATTTAACATCTCATGTAGCTTCAGCAAAAGGTATCATATCACGTCAGCTATATACCATCAGTATGGTATACAATAAACTATTACAGTTTCACACTTCTGCTCTGCAGTTTGCGTACAGAGGAAACACTTCCAAAAGTGTTTTATACTCCATACAGAAAATGAAGCAATGGAAAGCTATAAGTAATTCCTCTCTGTTGATTTCAAATGAGATAAATTTACACATAAAAAAAATCATAGCGCAAATATTGTGGTATGTTCTGTGTAATAAAAGATGCACTAATCCTTTGCTTTCAAAGGCAAGTATTTTTTATAAACCCTCTAGAAAAAACAAGCATCTTTGGGCACAGAACAACCTACTTGACTTGGGGAAAACAAAAGATGACAAAACAGAGGAGAGAATCTTACACCTTCAACAGTGTTTTAAAACCTAAAAAGGTTCCTATCATCTCTAACACCTATCACTTTAACTCTCCCAGCCTGTAGGTATAGAAAGGTTCATCAGATCTTTTGTGGACATTTTCCAGGGCAGGCATGACTTTTTATTAAGGAACTGGAAATTATTTATTAATGGCAACTTTCCACAGGAGAAAACCATAAGTTTTCCAGCCAGCTGTAACATATAAGACAGAAAGAAAGAATAAAAAAAAAATTAAAAAAAGATTTTGCATAAGTGAAGTGCGTACTTTCAGCCATCAGACATCACCTCCTAGTTAAACAATTACCACACCAGTGTTTAGACAATTGTCTGCTCCTTGAATGCATTTAATACTACTGCTGACAATGAGATAGGTATGTAAGAGGTGTCAGTGTGCTATTCACAAGAGACAGAAAGGGAATGTACTTAGGCTTTTTTTAAAAAACCCTATCTGCTCTGACCTGTTGGCATTTAAAAAAGCTGGATATTAATGACTTCATTAACGCAACCAGAATGTTGCAGAGTATAATACCATAAGACGGTACAAATCAAGTGTTCCAACAATAATAGTAACTGTTAGAGACGATTAGATCAGAGATTACAACATGAAGAAAAAATATCATGTAAATTTGCAATCCAGTGAATCACACCCAATCCTGCAAAGCTGCTCTTCATTCAGATAGATGCCTCATCTAGATGGAGTTAAACATATAAAACAGGCTGTAGAACCACAGCTGAATTATCTGTGGTTTCAGTATCACGATAGAATCTACCACCACAGAGTTCTCTGCTCCCACATGATCTTACCAAATTGGATGAAATTCAGTTCTAGCACAGCATGCATGATTTAGGAATTGTATCATTAAAAAATATATGGCGAAATAGCATAACCAAACTGATGTTATTATGTGAATTCAGCTGCTGTACTTCATCTGTGAAAGGTCAACACGAAAGAAGTAGGACCTGGCACTTTTTTTTGCAATGTGTTTACTTGGTTTTAGAAAGTCTTTTCTATGCAAGGGTGTAAAATCACAAAGCAAAGCTAAAGAAAAAAACGTGCCCCAGAGGTCCACGAATGTATGTACCTCCAGTACATTCTCATGCCTGATTTTCTAACTTAGAGTTACAAGTACATAATATATATTCCCCTGATATCACCTTATGACAATCCTTTTCTGCTCCAGGCCCTACTCCTGGATGTTTTTTTGTGGCTGAATCACTTAGACTGTGAAAACAGAACCACAAGATCACACCCCACCATAAGCATCAAGTTAATGTAAGTGGCCACAAATAAGGGCTTGCATCAGCTAGTGATGCCTAATTAAAGAAAGGAACTCATGCTTTTTAAATGAAAAATACATATGCAATTAACTAAAGCATTGTGAGAAAACACTGGAAACTTTGTTTGAAAATTCATTTAGCCCATTCAAAAACAAAGTGAGGACCCGTTCCTGAGGTGTGAGGTATGATTTTGGGTTTTCTGCCTGAAACAGCTCTGATTAAGTTTGCAGAGGTACTGAGAACCCAAAACATTCCACCAGCCTCTATAAGGCACTAAGTATTTCTAAGGATCCAGTGCATCAATCCTGCACAGGCCATGAGAAATTCCTGGCTATTTTAAGGCTTTCCTGCTTCATTGCAATGTTGTAGCCTCTATAGCAAACATCTCAGGAATCTCACTAATATTTTTTTTCCTCTTGGTCTCCGAGGTCTGTGTTGCCAGCCCACCCAGACCTGAAAGCTTCAGGCCCAAAGAAGATGCAAGAGGTCACTTCTGATAGACAAAACGATATCCCTGGCAAGGGCAAATATTCAGCCCTCAGAATTAAGAGAGCTAAGAATATAACGTTTGCCAAGATTCTCTTACTAAATAGCCACTCTATATCAGAAGAAAGGTCAGTCCTCAGTAGCCAAGATTCTCTTACTAAATAGCCACTCTATTTTATATCAGAAGAAAGGTCAGTCCTCAGTGACTTCAGTGCAGATAGCCTCAATGAAGTTAACAGCTACTCTCAGCTTTCAACTGATAGAAGCCAAAGGTAGAATGTAGTCTTAACATTTTTGTTTGGAGACCTCAGGTGACTATTTTGTCCTCCTTACAAAGAAGGACATTTTAAATTTCTAGCTTATTTTATTCTCATGCAGTTTACAGGACTTCCCCTACTGGTTGTGCATAATCCAAAACAGCAAACAATAAACTTGCAGTAATTCTGCTTATTTTCCTCCACTTCCCAAACTACTCTGTTTTCAACAGATTCTGGGAATCTCTGTGCCCTACTGTCAACGTTGGGAAATTAGTATTGAGATGCTGGGTGGAGGAAGAGTTTCATAAGCACCCCTTTGGTGCTAAAAAATGAAGTTAGTTGCCAGATTTCAGACAAGGAGGAAAAGGAAAGAAGTGGTTTCTGGGAGCCAAAAATGTCAGAACAATGTGAAAAAACATGTTACATCGTATTTAGGACTTTTGCAGTCCTGTATGAGAATAGGGAGGAAGGCAGGTGGGAGGGGAGATGGAAAGGGGAAGCCATAAATTGTGGTTTTATTCTGTATTTCTCTTACTGACTGACGTAGACGAACAAGACACAGATAAGATTTTTCTTTAGTCTCTACTACCCTATTTTATTCTCAGTCCTCACCACTGAGAGTTAGCCAAGTTACAAGCTTCCTAACTAGTATTTGATATGTTCATGTAAAACAAGAATAAAGACAGTTCCAAGCAAAGCCCAACCATGTGGGGACAGTTCATTAGAAAACAGACCAAGAGCCTTAATTTATACCTAACAACCCGACTCTGTTGATGTTGCCAACACAAGTCCTCTACTCTGCTGATAAAAGTCTATTAAACAGGCTTGTTTCCACATTTGGGAAATAGGAGAAGAAAAACAGAAAAAGGGAGTGGAAACTCAAATCTACATGTTGCCACTAAGGCCTGTCTCCCACAGTAAGTAAAGCAAATGAAAACACAACAAAAATATTTTTAGAAAACCATTCTCATATTACTGATGATGTGACCCAAGTCATGAAGCAGGACAGTCCTAAGCAAGACTAATTTCCTGCTATTCCATCTCCATCTCTGTCTTTTGGCCTTAGGTCAGGGTGTCTCCAGGGACTTTTGAACTGCATTTTATTTTGAGAAAGTTTGTTTTTCCCGGAAGATACAACAGCAAATCCCATCTGCCATGCACAGATTTCTCAACGTGCCTGGAGAGCTTAACCTTTTCTTTGCCTGTGTCAGTGTAAAACAGGAAGAAAAGTGCAGAAGGAAAAAAGAAATTAGATTTCTAACCTATTCATACCTGGTTTTCTGCTAAAAGGAAGAACTTGTGCTCTGCTTCATGTATCCCTTCCTTTTAGCAGGTAGACTACTTTTTTAATAAACTTTTCGCTTAGAAATTTGTTACCTTCATTGATTTTTCCCAATATAGCGATAAGGCAAATATTTCCTTGAATAAAAAAATAAAAATCAAACCGTGATACAGCTTATAAGAAGACAAAAAAATGGAACATTTTGATTAGGATAGGTTTTCACCTAACTGAAAAATCACTTTCATAGAGAAGCCATTAATTTCAAGGTTTGCCTTGAAATCAAGAGAGAAGTTCTTTCAAGAGTTACCAGCTGGGCTGTGCTTCAGACTGATTTGCAGAGTCTGATTAAAAGCAGGTGGGTAACTGGAAACAGGTTACTTCGGTAAAGATTGAGATCTGACTTAAAAAATTAGAGAACACAAAATCTGAGCTATTGTCATTATTGGCCTCTGTGCAGATATTAGAAATAAACGTCCAAGGAAACAAAGCCCCAGCAGAGCAAAAATAAGCCACTTGTCTCTACTGAGGGAGCAAGACTATGTACATGTGCTTTTTGTACTTCATTTTGCTAATGCCAGAGTGTGGGGCCAGTTAGAAAATAGGCCAAGAGCCTTAATTCATACCTACAACCCAATGAATGCTACAGCCTCTGCTGATATTGACAACCCAAGTCTTCTACTCAGCTGTTAGAAGGCTATGAAGCAGACAGCCAGAGATGGTCCCCTGCACTGCTATAATGTAAGCAAGCCCAGTGCTTACTTGAAACTTACCCAAAAGCATTCTCAGTAGATTTAAGTTTTGGGGCGGTGAGTTCACGTTCTCCGTTTTGTGCCTTTTGTTCAGGAACTCCCTTCTTACGATCCCAGATACTTTTCATTTCCTCTTTGGGTGCTTTTCCTTTATCCTTGTCATCTTTTACCTGCTCAGGAGATACCATAAATCACAGAACAAAACCAAGAAACAAACAAACAAACAAAAAAAGAAGTCTCAATGAGCCATTCTAAATAACAGCTGAGGAACAAGACTGACTTCTTGGTATTAATGATTCACTAAGCAACTGTCTTCAAAATGTGTATGTGCTTTATGGCAGAGGTAGTCTGTAAAGCGCTAAACTGTGACCGACCACTACTCTGCTGTCCTGACTTGAATTCAAGATTAAAACATCTTGAATAAAATGATCAGTCTTCTGAGAAAGTTTGTTGCATGGGACTATGCTACCACATTGCTTCATTCTGCAACTGCACCCCACTGTGGCACCCCAACCCTCTTCCCTCCCACTGCAGCATCATTCACGTATTGCCTATTAAGATTCTAGGTTGCAAACTCTTTGGGATTATGCTTGTTGATACATTCTTTGTGCAAGGTTTCGTGCATTGACACAATAAAAATAACACATAACCTTCACCGACTGTCAAGATTGCTCGACAAAGTTCATGCTCTTTCCAGTGTCATAGCAGATGGATACTTCAGTATCACAATAATAATGGCCAAAACACAAAACTGTCTTTATATCAGCATAAAACCTACTCCGGCAAAAACACAATCCTACCAGGGTCTAGTCATGGATAGTGTTACCAGACATGAATGTTTAATCCTATGAAGAAGCAAATGTTCTCTCTGGAAACTCCAAAGCAAAAATTCCCTCTATCCTTACAAAGCCCTGTACTGTAATTCTTAATAGTAATCAAGTATATTTAGTGCATAGATTTCACTTTCCTGTATTCCTTCAGACTTATGAACTTGAAGTATTTATCAATACCACAGATGGCCTGATCCCAGCATTCTGAGTCATGGCTAGACACTGATAAGAGGAGGAGGATATGGGCTGATTAGTTCTTTAACCTCAGGTAGAATTATTCCCACTCAGTTAGTTAGACTACCAGTCTAAATAAACTTCCAACAGCAGTAGATGAAACATTTTTTTCCAAATTTTTATTTTGTTTTCCAGCTCTACCATGTTGGAGGAAGATTCTAGCTGGCAAGCAAGAAATAACTGCTATGAAAAATTCATATGAGGACCTTTAGAAAAAAAAAAATACTTCTGTCCCTTGGAAGCCTGTTGCTAATTAAAGAAAAAGAACTTCCGTAACAGTCCTGTCTGCAACACAACTTCTTTTATGGCATTCCAAACTGCACCTTGAAATAAAAATCTAATACACACACATCCCCAAATCAAATAAAATTTCTATACTTTCCCATCAAAGAAGAACTTCTGGAGATGTAATATCTTTAACAATAAAGGATGAGTTCAGAGTCTTCAAAGTCAAGATCCTCCTAAGGTGTGAATTAAGCTGCCGAGTCCAAAAGTCAGCCTCTGACTTTACCTGAGGCCAGTTTGCTTGCTCACAGAAACTGACACAACAGACAACGTCAAGGTGGCACACACTATGAGTGAGCACTGGGTGGTTAAACTACTCAAGAAAATTTGCCACTGGTGAGGGATATTGGACACAAACCACAGAGACGTTTTCTCTGTCCTGACAGCAGGCAGCAGCAGTGGAGAATTTCCCCACCCTCTGCTGCCAACCGGCTTTAGCCACAACCTGGAAGAAGTGCCCAGATGGACAAGGGGGGAGTTCAGTTTCCATGACTGTGCATTCTTTGGCCATGATGCTGTAACTGCTAGCAAACAAGGCCGTTATTACTAGCAGCCTCAAGGAATGGTTTTCTGTTTTCTAGGAGCTGGGCTGAGACAACCAGAGCTATTCACTGAGCCTAACGTATGCCATCAGACAGCAACATCTTTTGGGTGCTCCCAAATCTGGGCAAGATTGTAGCTAGTGATCATGTTCACAGCAAAAATCTCTGCTGCATACTAGCAATCTCCTAATCATTCAGTCCCAGTCAGGGTGATGCTGAAACCAGCAATGTTGATTGTTGCAAGATTTTGCATGCCAGGATGTCTGTGTTAGGATTTTGAAAGCATAGGATTTCCTTTGCTGAGATTTTCATCAAGACCTTTCTAAGTCTCATTAAAAAGCCAATACTTCCAGCTGTCTGATGTATTGAAGTTCACTGGGGAGGGTCATATCTCTTACATCTTAATTTAAATCACTGAGAAAAATAATATTAAAACAATACAGTTTAAAAATTAACAGGCTAGGAAACAGCATTTCAGAAGCCAGTAGGATTTATGGTAATGTGTCTGCATTTGAGAAAATCATTAATACAGCTTGGCCTCTTTATTTAAAATAATGATAGAACAAGATATTATAGAAACACTTCACAGCTTTTGGGCCCAATCCTTCTACTAATTTTAATCCCAAAAGAGAGATGGATTAGCACAGAAGCAGAAACATTATGTCCTGTTCCAAAGGCAGGCCACAGAAAAAGTACTTTGCCTTGTCTCAGTGCTTCCCTAAATTACAGGCTAATTCAGCTTCTGCTGAATTCAGCAAAAAGGGCAACACTGACTCCAATTGGAGTAGACGGGTGGTATTACCTGAATTGAAAACAGTTCACATGCTCTCACAAATCTTGACCATCAAGTCAAGACAGAATATGACTAAAAGCACATTTAGATATTTTCCACCTTTATTTATTTATATTTTAATCTTTCTCTACACTGCTTCTTTCCTGTTAGGGTGTTATTTCTAAATCCAGAGTTTGAACACCTTCAGAACACAGTGAATCAGTTACTGAGGTTGGGATCATTTGGCAAATCTGATTCTTTATTTGAGTTCAGTTATTTGGTGACTTAAAAGCTGAGGGCATCTGGATCTAGGGTTTCCATTTAGAGCCAACTACCATACCCAAATACCATGAGAAAATCAACTGTTGCAGCACGTCTAGCCAAACTGGAAGCAGGAAATACCAGGAGTCTCACATCATGAGAAAGCTTGTTCTTATGAAGTTTCCAGGCCACTTTTGAGAACCAAAAATTGTGGGGCAGTTCAGAAAAGGAGACAGATTTTGCTTGCTAATTCGATCAAAACCTGAACTTTGAGAGCCAGATTTTGGTCACATTAAGAAAGGACATATGTTTGTGTTGCACAACTGCAAAAGTAAAATCTGATTATGTAGATACACTGTATTCCTTCAGGATCTTGTTCATGATATACTGTCATGCACTTAACTGCATATATGGTTCAGAAATAGGACTAATTGAATTTGTATGCCCTTGAAGGCTAGGGGTGGTGGTGGGGAGTGGAGATAGGAGTCTGGTCTTCACTTGGTTTGAAGTCTGGGATTGTCAATATTTCTTCACAAGCCAAGAAGAAAAAACTAAGATTTTCAAAACTGAGCAAAACACTTCAGATGCTCAGCTTGACACACAATGCAAAAGATTTACCATTCAATGGATAGCTATTCAACATTGCACTAGAAGTGGGACTTTTTATCTCAGCTTCAACATCCAAAAATGGAAGCACTAAAATTACAAGTAACTTTCAAAAGTCTTACTAATTTCCTGGAATAATCTAGCCCTGTGGCTATGGTTTAAAAGCATGATGAGAACTCCAGTGAGAGTTGACCGAGCTCCATATAAACACAAGCAGTTCAATTGTGTCTCAAGTCCCCCTGAGAACCAGTATTTGTGATAAGTTACAGTCTCCTTTTTACATTTACTTGTAATATTCAAAGACTGTGTGCAACAGTGAATATTATAAGCCTATTCTGTTTTATGAAGAACTCTTAATATAATCCATACCTCATTTTTCGCAAAGCTATTTCCTCTGCTTTCACAATCAGGTTAATTTAGAGTAGAATGATTGTTTGGTTTTTCTAGTGCACTATAGTGAAGCTTCTCCATTAGGTGTCATTTAACTCTTCCCCTTTCTAGGGTAACTCATTCTAGTTACTGCCAATCTCTCTTCCTGTTCATTAGGAACCTTTCTTCTAACCATCTTCATCACTTCATTTGCCTTTTCAATCTCACATACACCTTACTCAAAATATGATACTTTGGATGATCAAGCCAGGCAACTGGACGTAAAACCTTGCGATATGATCTGCCTTCATCGTTCTCTGAAGGTGAGCTAAGCATCTACAGCATGTTGTGAACTAATCCAACAAATAAGGACCCTGGACTGGACCCTCTAGAACCCTGAATGCTCCCAATCAACTTGACAGGGAGCAAGCTGCCTGTTACTAGGTTTCTGTGCTGATTTCTTTTCTTAAGCCACACAGACATAGCTGAACCCAAACAAATTCAAATCTCCAAGGCCCTGACCAGTCTTGATGTCTGATTAGGATTAGGGGGTATTTTGATACCTGCTGCATTGAACCAAGAACGGTTGCTACACAACATTGAACATGGCTCCCTGGGCCCAGCTGTAACCTGAAGAGTAAATGGTCCCCAAATCTTATTTACTTACCATACAGTAAAACACCATGGCACCAGCTCCTGTGTTTACAGTGGAAATGCAATGCAGTAAATTTTGTAGATTTTCTCTTTAAAACAAAAGAAGAATCTTGGGTACGCACAGTTCATATCATGGGGTGTTGCAGTTTGGGGGAAAATCATTAGTTAAGGCAGCCAGGTGGCCAAAGGGCCTAGATTATTGTTATTATTATTGCAAGAGTAGGTCTCAGTCATAGGGAAAACGTTCACAGTAAAGTGGGAGGAAACCAGGGTAGGATGATTAGTTAATACAGTCCTGAAAAATTCATCCCTAGGGTGCAAACCGTCCTTGCGTTATTGATCGAACTGAGTTTCCTGAAATATTTGTTCTACGACAAACAGGACTTGGTTCTAAAGCCCCAAAAGAACAAAATACTTAAGCATTTGCTTCATTTTAAGCACATAAGTAGCTTCATCCCTATTTATTTCA